GACAGGGAAGTGCAGATTTGGGATACCGTTTTACCCAATGCGCAGTACCCGAATTCTGCGACCACTACTGACGAGCAAGAGCGTGAGCGTTTTGCACGAGTGCTAAAACGAATAAATGGTGTTTTGACCGACTACGAAAACCCGCACAACGCAACTTTTGACGAGTTTCTGGAAAGATGCGAGGCTACAGAAAAAGAATACTTGCTAGCAATAAGGGCTGAACTACGAAGATGCAAAGTTTTCCTACGTCACATTCCTTCGGACGTACTGATTAACCCGTACTCGCCGAATCTGTCCACGATGATGTCCAATATGGATCTGCAGTACGTACTCGGCGTGTGCATCCTATATCATTGATTACATCAATAAGTCCGACCGAGAGATTAGCACAACAATGAAGAAATGGTTAAGGAATTATGCAAAGGGAACAGTACGTTTCTTGAAGTAATGCGAAGCATCAGCAATGTCCACTACAACAGCGCTGAACTTTCCGCGCAGGAAGCCACATACAACATTTTGCAGTTGCCCATGTCATGCAGCAGTGAGCAGATAATCTTCATACAAACTTCTCCGCCAGATGAGCGTGTGAAAATTGTTAAGCCGCAGCATGAGCTCCGTAATCTTAATCCTGCTTCTAGCGACTGCTTCATGCACGGACTGTTGGAACATTAAACAAAGCGTCAAACTGAGATGGAAAGCGTTACACTTGCCGATTTTGCTGCACGGTATAACTACAGTAAAGCTAGATCACGTCTGGCTTCGCAGGTCACTGCATTGGAAGACGAAAAAACTGAAAATAATGAGACGCAAGACGAATCTGCAGAAGGGCAACTTATACGTCTAATGGATGGCGCGGGATTTATTCGCAAACGTTCCCGACCAAAAGTAATTCACTGTAGAATGTACAACATCCGTACAGAGCCGGAGCAGTTTTATCGCGAAGCGGTGATGTTATATCATTCGTGGAGAAATGAAGAAGAAATCACTGACGCAGACTGTGAGGCGCTCAACACACATCGCAAAGAAATTATGCGGATTAGGAAGCAGTATTACTACTTTTCAAATGATGTTCTTGAGACAGCTGTGAAGCAAGCGCAGGACGATGCTCGATGCCGCAAAGTGGAAGAAGAGGGCGATGTCACTGCACCCACTTCTGACATCGATAATAATAACCTTATTCAGGAACAGCAAGAAGCGCATGTCGATAGTGGAATGTACGAGCGAAACCCATACGTCGAGAATTTCTAACTGCCAAACCAACTTCCTAACACAGAGTTCGAAGAAGTGCTGAGACACTGTTGCACATTTCAAGTGCGACAACAGTCCGGTATACCATTTCATAACAGGTGGAGCTGGAGTGGGAAAAAGTGTAGTTATCAGAGCTATATATCAAGTTCTGCTGCGAATATTTTCAAAGCGACTGGATCTAAACCCGGATTTTCCCTCCGTCTTACTATCTGCTCCAACGGGGAAGGCTGCGTTCAATATCAAAGGGCTTACCTTTCACATGCTGTTTCAATTGCCTGTCAATTCGACGACTCTTACGGAGCTTCCGCAGATGTTACAAACACAATGGCTACAAGACTGCAGCATCTGCAATTGCTGATCATCGATGAGATATTGATGATTGGAGAGCCCATGTTGCGTATGGTGAACACGTGGCTGTGCCATTTGTTTGGCGATGCAGAATTTGGAGGGAAAAGCGTCATTGCTGTCGGCGACTTTCACCAACTGCGTCCAGTGATGGCAGCGCCGGTATATGGAAACAGATCCTGTGATCCGTACACTGAAGCGTTCGGCAAACCGTTGTGGCTTTTGTTCCAAGTTTACAAACTTACAACTGTGATGCGGCAGGACGAGCAGGACTTCAAAAAAGCGCTGACGAATTTGGCGCATGGGCAGCTTACACCAGCAGATGAAGCACTTTTCCAGTCTTGCACATTTTCGGAACTTCCTTCCGATGCTGTGAAACATCGGCCCATTTTTCTATTTTCAAGCAATGCTGAAGTAGATAAATGGAATGAAAAGGTAC